TCTGTGGGCAGGTACAGACTCTCCAAGCGGACTACATCCACACAGCACTTCACCGTTAAATGAAGTTTCATAACTCACCCTTAGAGCTCATGCATAATTCATCCCCTCGAGTCCTAATCCACTGCTTTAACTTCTTTCAGGTTGGCATCCAGTGCCAATTTTTCTGGACAAGCTGAGAGGTATGAGACGTTAAAGCCGTCACTGCTCACATATTCACTCTGCTTAAAGATGAGTTTAATATTAGATGTGAAGTGTGGCAGTCTGTCAAACTTCTTGTTCTTTTTCTTTTTTTGCAGTATGTTGATCCCTGGGAATGTGGCAGGTGTAGCCAAGCAGTTCCTCCGCTGTGTGTTTCACCAGCTGGCCCCGAATGGCATCTTACCCCAACTCTTCCAGAGCAACATCAAAGGTCTGCACACTCTACTCTAGGCCCCAGCGAAAATTATTGAAACCTATAGTACAGTCATATTATTTATCATGTATCATCATATTAGTAACATCTGTTTTTTTTTCTATAATAGTAAAACCCAACTTAATAGATTTTTTAATAAAATGCAAAGAATGGAATACTGCCCAAACTCATAAAAGTGTTAGCTTAAGGGGATTTTTTTTTCCATGAGGAGGCATGAGGACATACATCAAAAGATAATCTCCCAGAACTCTCTTTTAAATATTTCAAATGCCTTTAAAGACACAGCACAGTCCTGTTGATCTTAAAACAAACTCTTACCAGTTTGTTATCAGGTTTTTTTTGTTATCAGAGTAAAATTTTAAAAGAAAGTTCCCTGGAGTTTTTCTTCTGATTTATATTTATGTTGCCACTGGTTATTCTTTTTACTAAGCCTTGTATGTATTTCTCTCTTTCGTACAGATGGAAGTTTTCTGCGAACCCTCGCGTCCTCCCTGATAGATTTTAATGAACTGAGCTCAGTTGCTGCACTCAACATGCTGCTGGAGGTGATATTTTACTTCATATAACTGTGCTGACTCTTTCCACCAGCAGGAGGAGCTCTTGTCAAAGCAACGGCCTTTGTGACTGCAGCTACATGCACAGCATAAGCCTTTTTAAAACAACAAATCACTTGAGCATGGAAGAAAACCTGCATCACTCTGCACCACTGTACCACTTTATTGTTGCTGTTAAGCTAAACAAATGACACAGATAAGACCCCCATGATGCATGAGCTCATTCGAGCAATCATCTGTGCTTCAGTGTCCTAAATCCTCAGCCTTCATCATGAGCATTGTGATTGATCAGGAAGGAATGATCAGTAAAATGGAAAAATCTTCGCTTATAGAATGTCATTATATAACTCTGTTATGGTTATATGCCTCTGTGCCCTCCAGGGCCTGAACAACAAGAAGAGTCTGCCAGCAGGGGGCACAATGCTTCACTGCCTGGAAAACATTGCCACATTCATGGAGGCTCTCCCCATGGACTCTCCTAGTAACCTGTGGACGACAATCTGCAACCAATTCCAGACCTTTCTCACAAAGCTGCCCTCTGTGCTTCCTCTGAAGGTAGATATCGAATCTTCCAGTCACCTAGTCATGCTCTGATGTGGTTTAATGCGATTAAGTCCCGAGGAAAGAGCATCTTGCAGTGTCCTTGTCAGGCTCAATAGGACAAATTAAAAAAATGTAATACATTTGACTCTGACGCATTTTGACCTTGAAGGTCAGATTAATTTACAATAATCTAATTTACCACACCAAGTCCAGGAATAAGGGAATGCACCATGAAATCATTTTAAGCGTTGACATTTTTCAGTTTTTTCAATTTCTCTTGTTTTTAAATCTGTTTGTGTCGTTAGTGCCCCATGGATTCCAGCTTGAGGATTATCATTTGTCTGCTGAAAATCCCAACTACAAATGCAACCCGGGTAAGCTCTGAGCAACTTTTCATGCTTAAAGTTCAAATTCTGTCCTTTGATATCTAACTTTTTCACTACTTTTCCATCCTTCAGAGCCTTCTGGAGCCGTCCTCCAAGCTGCTGAGCTTTGTCATCCAGTATGGCATGTTCAGTCTCTCCTACCTCGTAGAACTATGTGGACTGTGTTACAAAGCCTTCAATAAGGTACAGTTAAGCCTGCTTACATGACTTTTTTCTCGTTTGTGGGAGAAAAACATGTGCTGAAATTCAGTATTTATGCCGTCTCGAAAGAGTTAAACCTTTTAAACTAATCTGCTGCGTTAAAAGCTCCTGTTCCCAGGCTTCTCGCTCATCACTCTTCTGGTGCTGAACCTACTCCCTGAGTCTCCAGCTGGCCAGAAATGTGGCCACGTGTCACACATGATTAAGTAGGCAATCAGCCAGTATTGATTAACATGATTAGTTGGTGTGCTAGGGGCTGAGGATGTATGGCGTGTTTCTGAGTGGCTGTCTCAGACAGAGATGGAGCCAGGCCTGTCTGCACTGTTGGGCCAGATGGATCCTTGGCCCTCCACCACTGTCAACGCTGCATGCTTTATGTCTCCTGCAGTATTGATTTTCTTCTCCTTCCTTAATTCCTCACCTCTCCATAAACAACTGCACAGGACAGGTTCAAAAGCAATAGCTCATAGTGAGTCCAGGTTTTTGAAAAAGCGGATATTATATGGTGAGGAATTAAGGAAGGAGAAGAAAATCAATACTGCAGGAGACATAAAGCATGCAGCGTTGACAGTGGTGGAGGGCCAAGGATCCATCTGGCCCAACAGTGCAGACAGGCCTGGCTCCATCTCTGTCTGAGACAGCCACTCAGAAACACGCCATACATCCTCAGCCCCTAGCACACCAACTAATCATGTTAATCAATACTGGCTGATTGCCTACTTAATCATGTGTGACACGTGGCCACATTTCTGGCCAGCTGGAGACTCAGGGAGTAGGTTCAGCACCAGAAGAGTGATGAGCGAGAGCCTGGGAACAGGAGCTTTTTAACGCAGCAGATTAGTTTAAAAGGTTTAACTCTTTCGAGACGGCATAAATACTGAATTTCAGCACATGTTTTTCTCCCACAAACGAGAAAAAAGTCATGTAAGCAGGCTTAACTGTACCTTATTGAAGGCTTTGTAACACAGTCCACATAGTTCTACGAGGTAGGAGAGACTGAACATGCCATACTGGATGACAAAGCTCAGCAGCTTGGAGGACGGCTCCAGAAGGCTCTGAAGGATGGAAAAGTAGTGAAAAAGTTAGATATCAAAGGACAGAATTTGAACTTTAAGCATGAAAGTTGCTCAGAGCTTACCCGGGTTGCATTTGTAGTTGGGATTTTCAGCAGACAAATGATAATCCTCAAGCTGGAATCCATGGGGCACTAACGACACAAACAGATTTAAAAACAAGAGAAATTGAAAAAACTGAAAAATGTCAACGCTTAAATGATTTCATGGTGCATTCCCTTATTCCTGGACTTGGTGTGGTAAATTAGATTATTGTAAATTAATCTGACCTTCAAGGTCAAAATGCGTCAGAGTCAAATGTATTACATTTTTTTAATTTGTCCTATTGAGCCTGACAAGGACACTGCAAGATGCTCTTTCCTCGGGACTTAATCGCATTAAACCACATCAGAGCATGACTAGGTGACTGGAAGATTCGATATCTACCTTCAGAGGAAGCACAGAGGGCAGCTTTGTGAGAAAGGTCTGGAATTGGTTGCAGATTGTCGTCCACAGGTTACTAGGAGAGTCCATGGGGAGAGCCTCCATGAATGTGGCAATGTTTTCCAGGCAGTGAAGCATTGTGCCCCTGCTGGCAGACTCTTCTTGTTGTTCAGGCCCTGGAGGGCACAGAGGCATATAACCATAACAGAGTTATATAATGACATTCTATAAGCGAAGATTTTTCCATTTTACTGATCATTCCTTCCTGATCAATCACAATGCTCATGATGAAGGCTGAGGATTTAGGACACTGAAGCACAGATGATTGCTCGAATGAGCTCATGCATCATGGGGGTCTTATCTGTGTCATTTGTTTAGCTTAACAGCAACAATAAAGTGGTACAGTGGTGCAGAGTGATGCAGGTTTTCTTCCATGCTCAAGTGATTTGTTGTTTTAAAAAGGCTTATGCTGTGCATGTAGCTGCAGTCACAAAGGCCGTTGCTTTGACAAGAGCTCCTCCTGCTGGTGGAAAGAGTCAGCACAGTTATATGAAGTAAAATATCACCTCCAGCAGCATGTTGAGTGCAGCAACTGAGCTCAGTTCATTAAAATCTATCAGGGAGGACGCGAGGGTTCGCAGAAAACTTCCATCTGTACGAAAGAGAGAAATACATACAAGGCTTAGTAAAAAGAATAACCAGTGGCAACATAAATATAAATCAGAAGAAAAACTCCAGGGAACTTTCTTTTAAAATTTTACTCTGATAACAAAAAAAACCTGATAACAAACTGGTAAGAGTTTGTTTTAAGATCAACAGGACTGTGCTGTGTCTTTAAAGGCATTTGAAATATTTAAAAGAGAGTTCTGGGAGATTATCTTTTGATGTATGTCCTCATGCCTCCTCATGGAAAAAAAAATCCCCTTAAGCTAACACTTTTATGAGTTTGGGCAGTATTCCATTCTTTGCATTTTATTAAAAAATCTATTAAGTTGGGTTTTACTATTATAGAAAAAAAAACAGATGTTACTAATATGATGATACATGATAAATAATATGACTGTACTATAGGTTTCAATAATTTTCGCTGGGCCTAGAGTAGAGTGTGCAGACCTTTGATGTTGCTCTGGAAGAGTTGGGGTAAGATGCCATTCGGGGCCAGCTGGTGAAACACACAGCGGAGGAACTGCTTGGCTACACCTGCCACATTCCCAGGGATCAACATACTGCAAAAAAAGAAAAAGAACAAGAAGTTTGACAGACTGCCACACTTCACATCTAATATTAAACTCATCTTTAAGCAGAGTGAATATGTGAGCAGTGACGGCTTTAACGTCTCATACCTCTCAGCTTGTCCAGAAAAATTGGCACTGGATGCCAACCTGAAAGAAGTTAAAGCAGTGGATTAGGACTCGAGGGGATGAATTATGCATGAGCTCTAAGGGTGAGTTATGAAACTTCATTTAACGGTGAAGTGCTGTGTGGATGT